GCTGATACAGTTCTCTGCCTCCTCAAGCCTAATCGTAAATTCTGTGACCTTGTGTGTGACTTCTGGTACCTCCCCTGTTAGCTCCTGCAGTTCCCTTTGGTGGGTGGACTTCATCCCCTCTATTGTGGACTTTATCTCCTCTATTATTGCATCCTTATTCTGAGTTGCTTCCCTCAGGTCCTTTATTATTGCGAGCAGACTTCTGAAGATTTCCATCTGTGGCACATCTGCATCTGTTTCTTCTATGAGACATTAGCTCTGCTACTATGTTTTGTCTCTGTTTTTTTGTTGTTGTTGGGAGTGATGTGGTCTGTTGATTTTTCCTCGATCCTTTCATAGACCCCATGTTTCTGGGAGGCCAGGGGGACCTTATCTGTGTTACTGCTAAGGATTCTTTCAAGCGGCTGCCTATGATCTACTCTAAGGATGGGTCAGACTGCTGTGTAGGCAGAGTTCCCCAAAGGCTTAGTGACCAGCAGTGGTGAGATGTTTCAGCGACTGGAGTGGGGGCTGGAGCCTGTGAGTGCCCCCAGGCTGCTTTGAACTGGTCTGTCAGGGTACCCTTGGCAGCCATTTTTTTGTTTAGTTATGAAAAAGGAAAAGTTAAAAATTAAAAAATAATTTTCTAAGAAAAAAATTTGGGGGGAGAAAAAAATGGAGAGAGCAAAAGAAGGAGAAGCTATATAAGAGGAAAGAAAAGAAGTGATAATAGTGAAAGTGGGAAAGGAAAAAAGAGATAGAAGGAAAACCTGTAGAAAAGGGGCCGATACTACACTTGATCTTAGCCAAAAGGCCGAGAAGCCAAAGAGAAGTAATAGCAATAATGAAAAAGGAGGAAGAAAGAAGAGGGAAAAGAAAACAGAAAGTAAAAAGAAAAAAAGAGAAAAACTAGCACGAGATAAAAGAGATATATGTATGTATGTATATATTTAAATTTTCCCCCTTTTCCCTCCAAGTTCTATTGATGCCTAATAAAGGGCGGAGGTGGGTGAGGCCTCGCTGCCATGGGACGTGGTGCTGATCTGGGCTCCGGAGCAGGGCTGTGTGAGGGGAAATGCTCTTCAGATCAGCAAGCCCTCCAAGGGCCCTGCAGGCCTGTAGAGTGGAGCCTGTGGGCAGAGGCTACGCATTTGGGGGTCTGTGGGCAAAGGCTACACAGGCGGGGAAAGCCCACAGGGGCGAGGCTCCTGCACCGACGAAAAGACTGGGGCTTCAAGGGGTGCTGAGGAAGGCACAAGCTGCAGTGCCTGCCTTCTATGGCGACTGGAGAGAGCTGGGGCAGGCTTAGGAGTTGGCACTGGGGCACCATCGTGGTGAAAGCCGGCCGGAGCACACAGACGGCTCGGTTGGCCACCGCAAAGCCGTGTCCCAGGCTTCCTACCAGGCAGGCGTTTATCGCTTGAGCTGCCGGCTCTGTGCACAGAGCTGGCTCTTCAGCGACGTGGTCCGAGCCGGATTGGACAGCTGCGGCTCTGGCGGGAAGCAGCCGGCAGTGGCGCCTGCCCTCCACCCTGGGATATACGTGCCACGGCAGGCTCAGAGCACGGAGCCGCTGGAAGC